ATGTTGCTCATGGCCCCTCTGATTTGGACTCCCTCACCACGTTCTCCGGACGCCCCATCATTGGGTTCAGGAGCCCCAGAGTCAGGGTGTTCTGCTGCCTGGGTTCTCCTGAGTTCAGGGCCTTGGTTTTGGAAACCTCCAAAGCTTTGTGCTTTGTTACACAAGATGGCATCTGCTGTTTGAAAACATTGCAGGGAGGTTTGAAGTTTCCAAGTGTCTGTCAGATGTGTACCCTGCCCCCAGGCTGTGTTGGACTTGGCTCCAAGAAGTCTCACACCATATATATTTTTTAAGAGACCTGGTGTTACCCAGGCTGGAGTGCAGTGGCACAGTCATGGCTCACTGCAGCCTCAAACTCGCTGGCTCAGTTGATCCTCCTGGCTCAGTTGATCCTCCTACTTCAGCCTCCCAAGTAGCTAGGACTATAGGAGCACACCTGTCAATTTTTAAAAATTTTTTGTAGAGACGAGGTCTTGCTATGTTGCCCAGCCTCCCAAGTAGCTGGGACTACAGGTGCACGACACCATACCCTGCTTGCTGATTTTTATTTTTTGTAGAGACGCAGTCTTGTTGTGTTGCTCAGGCTGGTCTTGAAGTCCTGGCTTCAAGCAATCCTCCCGCCTAGGCTGGGATTACAGGTTGAGCCATCACACCCGCCCTTAGGTCTTAGGGTCCATCTCCTCAGTTCAGAACTTACCTCCCTGAGAATCCGAGTCCTGCATCTCGGGGCCATCCGACAGCTGCCCTCATTTTCCGGGGGCGGGGGGGTCTCAGACTTGGGACTGGACACCAGTCTTGGTCTTGGCCACGGCGCTTCCCAGGTCTACTTCCCGTACCTGCTCATCAGCAAGAAGCGCTACGCCGGCCTGCTCTTCTCCTCACGGCCAGACACCCACGACCGCATGGACTGCAAGGGCCTGGAGGCCGTGCGCAGGGACAACTGCCCCCTCGTGGCCAACCTTGTCACCGCCTCGCTGCGCCGCCTGCTCATCGACCGGTGTGTGGGACCCTCCACCTGAACCTGGAGTCCAGGCCCAGCCTCTCCTCCCCCAGACCCAGGAGTCCAGGTCCCCGTCCTTCCTCCCCCAGACCTGGGACCCCTTCTCCCTTACCCAGGAGTCCCAGCCTCTGCCTCCTCTTCCCTCAAACCCAGGAGTCCGGGCCCCCGACCCTTCCTCCCCCAGACCCAGGAGTCCAGGTTCCCAGTGTCCGACTTCTTCAGACTGGGGAGTCCAGACCCTCAGCCCCTCTTCCCTCAGGCCCAGAAGTCCACACCCATAGGCCTTCCTCTTAGAACCAGGGGTCCAGGCCCCAGTCCCTCCTCCCCTGGGGACACAGGTGTCAGGCCCAGCTCTTCCTTGGTGGTTAGGCAGTGGAAAGTGCCAGCTGGGACAGCTGTGGGTCAGGCCTGCCTCTGCAACACTGCAGCCTGTGGCTGAGAGGGCCCCTCCTGCCCGGGGCCTCAGGAGTCCGCAGAGTTCATCCTGACCCCAGCCCTGGGGCCCGTGGAGGTGCCTGCCTGGCCCCCAGTGGCCATGGGTGACTCTGGTCCGCCCTTTCTGCAGAGATCCCCAGGGCGCGGTGGCCCATGCACAGGAAGTCATCTCGGACTTGCTGTGCAACCGCATTGACATCTCCCAGCTGGTCATCACCAAGGAGCTGACGCGAGCGGCCGCCGACTACGCTGGCAAGCAGGCCCATGTGGAGCTGGCCGAGAGGTCCTTGTGGGGTCCCATCCAGAAATAGCCCCCCCTTCCTGCCAGCTGGGCCCACCACTTCCTACAGCCCCCCCGCCCCCCACCTGCCCTCACCCATCCGCCCCTGTCTCTACGCAGGATGAGGAAGCGGGACCCCGGGAGTGCACCCAGCCTGGGCGACCGCGTCCCCTACGTGATCATCGGGGCCGCCAAGGGCGTGGCTGCCTACATGAAGTCCGAGGTCAGGCCCACCTGGGCACCCGCCTGCCCAGCCCCCTGTGCTCTCACTTCTGCTTTCCACTGTGGGCGGGCCAGTGGAGAGAGGCGGGTCCCGCCCTGGGTGCTGGCCCTGAGACCCGCTCTGGGTTGGCCTCAGCCCCCTCCAGAGGACACCCATCACTCTGACTCTCCCTTGCTTCCTGCTGTAAAGGGGCCCATCCCTCCTGTACACACAGTGCCCCCCTCGAGTCCCCTGGAGTCATCATTTCCCTGTCCAGCACAGACGCCCAGTAACCTGCCTTTCAGCCCCTGTGACCTCTGACCCCCACAGCCCCTTCCTCATCCTTACTTCCCTTGTGAACTCTGACCCTTGGTGACCAGAGGGCCCCCCAGCATGGGTCAGCCGGTGGCCCCGGGACTCCTCCATGACTTCTTTTTTTTTTCTGAGTTGGAGTCTCACTCTGTCCCCCAGACTGGAGTGCAGTGGTACACTCCTGGCCACCGCAGCCTCGACCTGCTGGGCTCCGGCGATCCTTCCGCCTCAGCCTTCCGAGTAGCCGGAACTACAGACCCATGCTACCACACCCAGCTGATGTTTTGTTTATTGTAGAGACCAGGTCTCGCCAAGTTGCCTGGGCGGGTCTCGAACCCGTGGGTTCAGGCAGTCCACTCACCTCGACCTCCCAAAGTACTGGGATTACAGACTGAGCCATCGAGCCTGGTCTCCTCCATGACTTCTGACCCCCAACGCACATACCCCTAGCCCTGGCGTCTGCCCACACCACTGCCCCACCCTCGGTGGCTCCGGGCCCCTCCCGTGTGACCACGTGTGCCACCCGCAGGACCCCCTGTTTGTGCTGGAGCACAGCCTGCCCATCGACACGCAGTACTACCTGGAGCAGCAGCTCGCCAAGCCACTGCTGCGCATCTTCGAGCCCATCCTGGGCGAGGGCCGTGCGGAGGCGGTCTTGCTGCGTACGGAGTTGCCAGGGTGGGGGGGAGCAGGG